ATATAGGGGGAGGATCCAATGCGTCTACTTCTTAAAATGAGTACACTCCTTAAAATATATATTAATTAAATAATAAAATAATTATTAGTTGACTCCGACGTTGACCGTTGACTTCCGGCGAAAATCGTTGACTTACGACATTAACCGTTGACTTCCGGCGTTGACATGTTGTCCTTGGTTTGCAATATGTATGAAGTAAATATGCATCCAGTACCATGCATTCAATATGAACTAAATATGCATGAGATATGAATTGCACATGCAGTCCCTATGAACTAAATATGTACCAATAATATCTATTAAGTATGCACCTGTTATTAACTAAATATGCATATGTTATGAACTAAATATGCATCATGAATGAACTAAATATGCAACGAAAATTATGCAATAAAAATGTATATTTTATATAGGTAATTTATGATGCATATTTAGTTAATTTATTATGAATATTTAGGTAATTTATTATGCATATTTAGTTAATACGAAATACATACTTGTTATATTTAAATTAAATATATAATGATGTTTATATAGTTAATTTATGATGCATATTTAGTTAATTCATGATACATATTTAGTTCTTACGAAATGCATATTTAGTTCATGAACAGTGCATACCTATTTTATTTGAGATCCAATCATAACAATTTATTTGTGTTATTAATAAATTTAAAATTAAAATTAATTATATAATAAAAATCATTAATTATTATATTTAATTTAATTGTATAAAATGTGTATTTTATTGCATATTTTCGTTGCATATTTAGTTAATTCATGATGCATATTTAGGTAGTAAAATGTGTATATTTAGTACATAAGCAGTGCATACATAGTTGATATTATTGGTGCATATTTAATTCATAAGAATAACATATATAATTTATTTCTTATGCATATTTAGTTCATACTAAGTGCATAGTACTATATGCATATTTACTTCATACACAATGCATACTAAGGGTCAATGGTCAATGTTGGAAGTCAACGCCGGAAGTCAATGATCAATGTCAAAAGTCAATGCTTTTCACTGGAAGGCAACGCCAGAAGTCAACGGTTAACGCCGAAAGTCAACGGTCGACGCCGGAGTCAACGGTCAATGCCGAAGTCAATGGTCAATTGTCAAAATAATATTTAAATAATTAAAATAATAAAAATAAAGAATTAAGTAATAAAAATAAAGAATTATTATTTAATTGAAGAGTTAAATCTTGGCCACACATAATGTACCAATCTAGTGGCTAGAAATGGGTTTCACATTCACACTTTAAATATGTGGACTCATTAGATTCAATCTATATATATATATATATATATATATAGGGTTGGGTTCACATGAGAATGGTTCTCAATGAAAGAAATGAGAATGAATCGTGGCCATTAGATCAG